CTGCAGGTTTGCAGTTCATGACCTGTTGACATCCCTGAGTTGTTCTTGCAAGACTTTTATCATAATTTCTGCTGGTTTGCATGCAGGCTGTGCTAGCTGCACAGAGCACAAAGATAATGTGCTGGTTTGATTACAGTCCATCCAGAATTTATCTCCAATTTTGCCACCATTGCTGTGGTGACCTTCTGACCTTGTACTGTTTATATTTTGTAGCTGTGGAATCACTAAGTGCCAACAATGTGTCCAATACCTACAAATTGTCTGAAATTTCTGCTTCTGTTTGTGAAATATTCATTCTTCTTAGTCACATTTCGTTATTCCTGATTGTACATAAAAGTATTTCCCAGCCCTTTGCCCAAAGGACTCATTGTGGTGCTTGTGGCCTTTGAAAAGGAAACTTTTGTGATAAAAAGCCCTGTCTGAGGATCAGGTCAGGCCAGCATGGTAGAACAATTAAAACAAAGCATTAATTAACTGGCAGAGTGCTCATCTGAGGTCAGGATGGCAGAATCCAGAGCTCCCACTCAAGGGACTGCTCTGATCCCAATTTGGGTTACTTAACCCTGAAGTGATTTTACAACACTGCATAAAACCATGAAGTCTAAATAGAATAATTTTTACAGTTTCTGGGAGTGAAGAGGAACAAACATTCTAGGAAGCACAGGAGCACAAGCTTTCTGTGAAGCATGAAATACAAAGCCCAGCAGAAAATGAGCAAAATAAAAGCCACTTGTCCATTAAATTCTCAAAAGAAAGAGCAGAGCTTAATGACTTCCCTTTTAAACTCCTGGACCTGGAGAAAACTGCAGAGAAGCTCTCAGTGTCAGCATTGCCTCTTTCGTGCACTTTGGCTATTTCATCTTGATAAGGGAGATAAATTTCCTCTCAAGTGGAGTCAGGTTTTTATGAGAGAAAAATTTTACCACCAAAATCATTTACTGAAAAGTTTCTTTTAATTCAGAAGAGTTTCTGGGCTCTTGTGTTCAGGTTATAATAGAACAGTGCTACAACAGATGGCTCAAATACTTTCTGGATCACTGGCTTGTAGCTCCATTTTGGGGGTCTGAATTTTCATCCCAATTTAGAAGTGGAAAGGCTAAACTTCTGGCAAGATATGAAAACTTTTTCTTTCCCATCTGTAGTTGGAGAGGGTCTTATTCCAGCAATAACTATATTCTTAGCATGGCATAAATAAACGAGAAGGAAAAATAATCCACTTTATTCTGTCTTCAAGACTTTGCCTTTTTGATTCATTTCATCTACCAGTAAATGTCAAGGTAAAAATCCTTAGTTATATTTTCCATTAGGAAGCAGAAAACATGGATAAACAGACATGAATTAAAATAGAAAATAAGCCTAAAGAGAAATAAAAAGGATGCACTGCCTGTCATCATTACCTCTCTTAAATGACCTTTCCTGAGTCTCCATTTATGGAACTGATGTGTGGGTTTTGTTAGAGCTGCCCAGCTCTGAGGAATTAATCTGTTGACACAGAGCTCCAATAATAACAAAAAAGTCCTTGACAAATAATGGTGTACTTTGGTCAATACAGCACTCAGGCTCTTTTCTAGGAAAGCTCACTTTGCAGTGGAGGGAGATCCTTCTTCCTCTGAAACACTGTGATCTATCTGAGCAACAAACACCAGAGGCTTCATCCTCTCTGCCTGTAAATCAGGCTCAGTCTGGTTAGCCACTGCAACTGTATGGATTCTCTCCAGCTGAGAAAACAGCTCCATTTTCATCTCCAAGCCTTCAGCTCTTGCAAGCTGCATTCCCTGTTTGATTCCCACGTAGTGTCCTGTCTGCTGAGCAAACTCCCCCCATCATCATCATCATCCCCACGAGCTGTGGTCTCAGGCCCAGCAAGGACAATTAAAACCCCATCTAATTATGCATTGAAAACTGATCTTCACATCAGACCTCTCAGAATGCTGCTGAAACGCCCTACTTGGCCAAGTGTCTTTCTGAAATGCAGTGGTTTGGGGTTTTTTTTAAAGAAATCCTTAAAAGTGAACACACTGAAATGTGCTTTTACAAGGCAAAACCAAGAATAAATATTTGCTGTAATCGCATTTTCATCTTTTCCCTTGGATTTTTTGCTTGCTAAGATCTGCATGGTAGGGGTGAGCCTATCCAAGCCTTAAAGATCTCTCAGAGAAACCTTAATAGAAACAAAGTGTTGGTGCCTCAAAACATTTTTAAGCTTCCACGGACTGTAATGTCACAGAACCTCTATCAACACAGCCCTGTTCAATTCATTGAAGCTCACATGGGATATCCTGAGCAACCTGAAGATCAGTGGAAGATTTGTGTGGGCAGCTGGTTCAAGTCCAAGCCTTACTAGTCCAAAACCACTCATTTAAAGTATGTCAAATGGACCACTGTTGAAAAGTTTCCATTTCCAGTGAATATAAATAGATCTTGGGATAACCAACTGCTTAATCTAACAAGAAATGATGCCAGCCTTACTCAGTTCCTTATGCTCTTGCTCTTCTTATCCTCACTCTGAGATGGAATTGATTTATGGCCAAGGCCAAGTCACTTGGCTTTTCTCTCTTAGGTACTAAATCTAGAATGGGGTAGAATCAGTTATTCCTTTTCCTGGAGGAGCTGTGGGATGAAGCCAGCAGCAGGAGCTGGGCAGAGAAATTTGTGAGAAAGTGGAAAACGAAGCCTTGAAAGAGCTTCACACATTCTAAAGGAGATTCTAAAGCCAGAAGGAGATGTGAATTCTTTTTCTGACCTCCTTTTTGCACTGAAAAGGCCAGAAGAGTCTCCTGACTTGATGTTCCTCTACATCCAAGCCATCACCTCTTGGGCATATACATAAACCCCACTGATCCAGTGTCTTCCCTCCAGCTCAGGGTACTCTTCTTCCACTAGCCTTTAAAAAAAACCTCAATTCTCTGGTTTGTAGGTAAAGGCAGAATAGTAGAAGAAGACTACAACAATAATGGAAGAAGCAGAGTGAAAATCACTCTGAAGTTCAGACTGAGATTCAGGAGGAGGATTCAGTTTGAGTGGCCAGTGCTGCTGTTACCCTCTCCTAAAAAATGCAATTAGAATTAATGTCCTTGCAAGGTTGTCTCAGTCACCTGGGTAGATTGTTCAAAGTCACCACTGATGTATCTGCCTTCCTGGTGCTCCTGGAGGAGCTGAGGTCTCTTTCAGGCTTTTTGTCACATGTGCCAACGTCACACACAGATTTCAGGGATGCAGGGGTGCCTCAGGTGCTGCTCTGCTCTGGGCTTGAGCAGCTGAACTGGGAGAATTAAAAACAGACTTTTATAGAATGAGAGTGTTCCTGGTGAAATAACTCCCAGAATTTTCAGCTAGCCATTCTTCTGGACTGATGAAGCATGCCTCTACAATTGAATTTCAGAAAAATATCTAATTTTCTGATGCAGGCTGTGGCATTTTGAATTTCCAGTTCAGATGGCAGGATGCTGTCACATTGAAGTAGGACTCATGAAACTTGAAATGCCCTCTTCAGCCCAGTTCATCACGTTAATGATGCCATGTGATTAGTCTGACTGATATTTGGAATTTGCTCTTACCTAGGAATCTATAATTCAATCTGGCACTTTTCATTACAATTGCAAAACTGGCATGTTTTGGACTGGTGCCTTTTTTGCATCCTTGGTAAAAATAACCTTATCTTGAGGATAAGAACCTCAAGATTTAGCAGCAGAATTTCAGGGGGGAAGTTTTCTTTCTGTGGGTGGAGGTTACCTCCATTCACCTCCCACTGAGCAGATTCTGCCTGAACATTTCTCGTTGTGTTACTGAAGAGCAGGGCAGTCACCACTGCGAGGAGTTTAAGATTCAACTCAAACCCCCGATATGGAGCTGCTTTTGTCTCTGATAAATAAAGCATGAACCAATTGACTTCAAGCTCTTAATATGATAAAAACAAATCTGAGAAGAACAAACACAAGTTGCACTGTTTTATTTACTTCTTGTACTCCCCAGGGCCCTGCTCTACTAAGGAAATAATTTCCAAGAATGCTGTGTTAACTCCCAGAACAGCACTTTTGTATTTCACGTAGTGTGTGTACACAATTCCCACTGCTGCCAGTCTCCTACTGTCTGCTCAGGTGTTTTATTGCTCCATTTGTTCCAAACCATGTCACAGGAGCCACAGGGAATGCTCTGATGGATGCCAAGATATGTAAACATTGAAATATACCCCATAGCACTGGGGGGAAAAAAGGAGCATGTTTTGAGAGCACCTTTCAGTTGTCAGCTCTGCTGAGGTGTTTGTGAATATTCAGATGTCAATCACAGAATTGTTCCATTCATGGGCTGAAAACTGCCTGGAGCCTCAGGACCATGGAATTGTGTGTGAGGTAAATATTTTCTTACAAGCTGTGCTGGGACCCCAGCAGTTGTGTAGTTCTGATAACTTTGGGACAGACCAATGTCTTGTAAGCTGCCTTTACTTTATGCTCTGAATGCAGCTTCAAACCTGCTAAGAGCCAAATCCTTCCACTGATCACAATCTACAAATCAATCTTCTCTTCAGTTTGTTTGGTTTTTTTTAAATCTCCTGTTTGCACTGTGCAAAAAAGTCACTAGCAGATGCTACAACAGTAATGAGAGCAAATATCAATTCACAGTGGTGAGGCTGCAGCACAAATAATAATTACCCAGCTCAGCAGATTGAAGAGGGGAGTGGCCAATCCATCAATCTCACCTTTAGTTCCTCGTTGCACCCAGAAGAGGAGAAAAGGAAGTAGAAATAATCTCCTTGTTAGGGCAAAAATGATGTACTCCATTTTCACTGCTGTTTTGGAAACATTAAGTGCTGTTGGATGTTTGCTGTATAATCTGGTATTCCTAGTAAAGTTCTGAGTCTGTTGCAATCAATGGTAAAGCCAAAAGGCTGTTTTCAATCAGATTGAAACTGTAAAATTTGCCTTTTAGGGCATATCACATCCTCTGAGCCATTATTTTACTGACTGACTGCATTTTTTTCCTCTCTCTCCCTTCTTTTCCAGATAAATTTTGTATTTCTATTTAACATAGTTAGGATTTTAATGACAAAGCTGAGAGCTTCAACCACTTCAGAAACAATCCAGTACAGGTAAGTCAGCTTGTGATTCCTGGTAACAAAGTTCTGCCTTTATTGTCCTGTCCTTGTCCCATCTTTGTCTTTCCAGGTGCCACTGTTGATGGAGTTCATAAATTAGGGCCACAATATTTCTCTGTGCAGGCTCTCCAGAAAAGCCTGCCTTCATTTTTTCTGTCCACTCTATTTCACTTCAGGCCTGCATGTGCCCCAGCACACACATGGAACCCCCTCCTTTCCATGAAATCTGAAGGATTTGATCTCATGGGAGGGCAAATTTATCAAGTTCTGTATGTACACAAGTGTCAATATAGTAAATGGTGCATCCAGCTCTGGGATCCCCAGCACAGGAAGGAGCTGGAGCTGCTGGAGCCAGTCCAGAGGAGGCACCAGGATGATCAGAGGGATGGAACAGCTCTGCTGTGGGGAGAGGATGGGAGAATTGGTATTGTTCAGTCTGGAAAAGGCTTTGGAGTGAACTAAAATCTACCTGAAGGGAGCCTGCAAGAAGATGGAGAGAGATCATTTGCAAGGGTTTGGAGTGACAGGACAAGGGGAAGTGGCTTCAAACTGACAGAGAGTAGATTTGGATGGATATTAGGAAGAAACTCTTCCCTGTGAGGGTGGTGAGAGCCTGGCACAGGGTGCCCAGAGCAGCTGTGGCTGCCCCTGGATCCCTGGCAGTGTCCAAGGCCAGGTTGGACAGGGCCTGGAGCAGCCTGGGACAGTGGGAGGTGTCCCTGCCCCTGGCAGGGGGTGGAACTGGATGATCTTTAACCTTCCATACCAAACCATTTTGGGATTCTGTGATGAATGTGTGCATCCAGGTATTTAATGCACCATTTAAAATGTAGGGGAGGGCAATGAGGGGTGACTGTGCCCCTTGCTTTCAGCTGGTGCCAGAATTGGTGCAGTCACTCACTGGCTTGCATCACAGAACTGATCCTCAGCTAATCAGTACCTTTATTTGGGTTTGGCTTCTCAGGTGAATCAGTTCCCATATCCAGCATAACCCCCCAAGCACTGGGATGGCAGAAAGGAAAAGTCAGGAGGGAAGGTGGCCTGGCCCCTTCAGACACCAGTGTGGGCTTAGATCAGCCTTAACAGTTTAAAAGCAAATTCTCAGACATCTTGAGATGCTGAGTGCCCTTCTCTTGTCATTTGCAGTATCTTGCAAGATACTTGGAGGACTTATGGACTAACAGGTCCTTGCAGTAGGAAATGGAACAGGTTTTGTGGAGTGAGATCAGTCACTCTAACTCATTTCTGGATAAAAGCTCAGCATGTCAAGCTGAGTTGCATCTTTATGTCCTCAAATCAGGCTGCTCTTGACTTTGGAGGCAGTTTTGCTGCAGTAATGGGCTTTGTTGTTTTGCCTGATTCCTTCCTTTTACTCCTGTCAGGGTTTTGTTAGTGAAGTTAGAGCAGTGGTCTGATGTTCAGACCCTTCTCTGCACATTTCCTGAGAAATGAAGGGAAAAATGCCCTTTTTTCTTGCTCAAACCTCATGCCATAAAACTAAAACTGGCCTGAAAAAGCCCTGATTCAAACCTCATTACATTGTTATCCCTTCTGCAGCTTGCAGGGGAGCATTAGAGACATTAGAGTGAATCAATCTAGGGCAGCTGCCATTGTTCTTGAACAGATAACAATGATCTTATCCTTGCAGCCTCTCAGGGAATTGTCTTTCCCACGGCCTAAATGGAAACCTTTAGAATTCCAGCAAAGCCTGGGGCAAGCCTTGATGCTCTAAAGCAGAGCAGTGCTACCCTTTGCTAAGCAGCTATTAAATCAGGTGGCAGCTGGTTCGTTAAGGCTGTCACTTCATCCTGACACTGGCAGTGTTTTTGTACCTGTTACAGCATTATTCAGAGATTTATACAGACTTCATCAAATTTCAGCCTTTGTGTTTGCACAGTGACAGTACAATGACATGCTGCTCTCAGCTGACACCCCAAGACACTGTTATTAAGGATTAGCCCCAAATAATTCTGTTAATCACTGATGCTTCCTCTGTCACCACCTGCTGTGTGATCTGTGGTGCCCTGAGCAGCTGAGTTGGATGGGCAGGTTGCAGAAAGTGTTTACACTGCAGACAAAATCAAATAATGGGCACAGAGCGGGTCTCAGCTGAGCTGGGCACTGGTCACATCTCCCTGAGGTGTAAGAAATCACTCGCCAAACCTGCAGAGAACCCCAAGGCTTCAAGCCTCACTGATAGGGGAGAAAAGGAGGAATAAGGTTCCCGTTCACCCCCTGGAGTTGAGTGTGGGGGGAAACATCAGGATTCAAAGGTTTTCCCAGGACTCTTCCCCCAGGCACTGGTCAGGCAGGGAGGCTGTCACTCTTTCCATGCTCCTCCTTTCCACTCCCAACACAATTGTCCTTCCCTGTGTTCACTTGTTTTCTCTTCCCTGCCCACAGGAAGGCAGTCAAGGCCACGTTGGTTCTCCTGCCTCTGCTTGGCATCACCTACATGCTTTTCTTTGTCAACCCTGGCGAGGATGACATTTCCCAGATTGTTTTCATCTACTTCAATTCCTTCCTTCAGTCTTTTCAGGTAAGAGAGCAGGCTTATTGCTGCATCAGCTGAAAGGATCCTCAGAGCTTTTCAGCCGTGAAACTTCAGGCAATTAAATCTGTGACAGAAATAATAGTTACAAATAGCTCAGCTTAGTTCACACGTGCATAATAGATGTACATGTGTGTCACATGGAGTGGAAAATCCTCTCAGGTGTGGACTGGAGGGATTCATCTCCCTTAATTCAGCACTGTGTTCAGCTCCTCACATAAAATCAATAGAGGGAGAGAAGATGTTTCATTCCACGTGCCTGAGAGGATGAGGATCCCCCTCCCGAGGTGCCTCTGTCTTCCCACAGCACACAGTGGGCTGAGACTTGGACTCAGTGTTGCTAAACCAAAGGGAAACAGCTCCTACCTGTTGAACTTGCTGTTCTATTCAGCTTGTAAGAGTCTCCAGACAAGTTTATGTGCTGTTCTATGCAGCCAACAGCCCGATTTTTAATTAATATTAGAAGTTATGCAATTTTTTAAGGGATGTTAGAAATTTATGTTAACTGTTTTCTCTGATTCAGAAAAAAAAAAAGACATGGTAAGTCTAAGTTTAGAACCAGTGGGTTAAAAAGATCATTAAAGCAAACACCCCCACAGGCAGACAAGGAAACTTTAACCAGCTGCTTTCAGAGAAATTCCTAATATTTTGCCTTCCAAGATCATTCATGTTTCAGGGGATGGATCAGTGAACAAACTGCTGGTAGAGCTCAGGAGTTTAACTGGGAGGACAGGGACAGTGTTTCAGACACACTTGAGCTGTGTTGCCCAGCCTGCTCTGGTGCATTCCCTGAGCCATCAGCCCCATCTCCTCCCTCCCCAAATTGAGCTGGAGTTCTGACAGGATGGAAAAGGCAATGGAACGTGAGCAGCTACCCAGCTCCGTGAATCTGACACAAACCCAAAAGCAACTGAAGGATCTTTAGCCACTCCTTTCTGCCCAGGTGTGTCCTACAGCTTTACCTCATAAGGAGGATGGGAATTTGTTTGACATTGATGTTTTTACCTCTTGTGTGCAGGAACAAGTGCTCTGATACCCAGGATATCAATACAAACATACAGCTGGCAAGCCAAATCTAGAGTTGGATTACTGTTTTTACTGATTTCATCCCACCAGAAATCACAGATGAATATCCAAAATAAGAAATGTCCCTTTTAACCTATGAGGGAAGGAACTTTAACCTTTACCTATGAAATAATTCCACACTTTTCATTCCCTAAAATTGATTGCATTTTTTATCTGCTCTTGCTCAGCCTCTCAAAAAAGAAAATGCTGCATTTCTCATTAGTTCTATGAAGATGTGTGTAAGAAAGAAAGCACAGGGAGTCTCTCCTTAATGCTGAGAATAATTACAGCCCTAAAAACAAAACGGGCAGAACTCCACTCACAGGAATTCCAACCTTTGCAGTCATCACAGGGGTTTAGTCACTGCTGTCAGCAGATTGCACAGAGCCTTTGAGCTCAGGTGAATTTAAGCAATCTGGTGATGCACTTGCCCTCATGAGACCATCTAAAGCCATTTAACACCCCCTGTGAGTGCCTGGGATGTTCCCCCAGAACTGTCAGCCCTGGGACTGCTCCTCTGAGGGCTCTCAGAGATTGGATGCTGTGGAGATGTTTTAGCCCAGCTGCAGGGACAATCCCCTGTCAGTGAAAGTGTTAAAATATTTACCTGATAATTGCCTGCTTTCTCTTTTTTCCAGGGTTTCTTTGTGTCAGTATTTTACTGCTTCTTGAATGGTGAGGTAAGTAATTCACCTTTGGGAGATGGAGTTTTTTTGAGTGCCTGATTAAAGAGCTCTGAGATGTTTTTCCAGGAGGTCACAGTCCCATCAGTCTCTTCTAGAAAGTTCTTAATGTGCACCTGAATTTCCCAGCCTTTGTCCTCAAAACTTTATCAGTTTCAGGCAGGGCAAGGGAAAGAAGTTTTGTCAGATTATAAAATTTCTGTTCTTCATCTTAAGACTTCTTTGAAGTTTCTCATTAATTAAAAATATGATTTCTGGCAATAGATAATTACTTCTGAGCTAGACTCTTGTTAAGGGTATGCTGCAGGTGACCCATTTTTATAGTGCCATGCTGAGCTGAGTGAGTTTGTCCATGTGGGTCACTGTCTCTGAGTGATCAGTGCCTGTTGCATTCAGAAAATAGGGCTGAAAATAGATTAAATCAGAATTAATATGAGGTACTGCTACTCAAGCAAGAAATGCTTCACTAATACCCCTCAGTATTTGACTTCCATCCCAAAGTGTGAGAGATTTAAATTTTTCTTGTGCTTACATTGCCACTGTCTCATTTGCCTGCATTAAAGTCTGTCATCTTTGTCCAGCTAAAATTTATGTCTCTGCAGAAATTAAATCCATATTTCATTATTCCTGCTGTATTGGTATAAACTTGCTTGTGCTGCTTCTTAATTTCATTGTGGGGTATAAGAAAGAACAGGCATGGCTTCAAAGCAGCAGCATTTTATTTTAAATATTCTATTTTTTTAAATTTTATTTTTATTGTATTTCTTTTGTATTATTTTACTTTAGCAACTTTCCCTCTTCCTCATTAATTCTGAGGTGATGTTAACAAGTTCAGTTTTCTCACATTAAGCACATGACACTTTTATATCCTGGCAGCAGAGTTCTCAGTTCTCTTTCCAACTTCCTTTCCATAAATTCTCACCATTCCATTTGCCTTTTGAAAAATAGGGCGTTTAAATCTTCCTCCAAAATACAGGTGCCTGTAGAGCTACATTTACCTCAGGCTGTGTCAGGGGAGTTTTGGGTTGGAGATCAGGAAAAGGTTCTTCCCCAGGGGGTGCTGGGCACTGCCCAGGCTCCCCAGGGAATGGGCACAGCCCCATCTGAGGCTGCCAGAGCTCCAGGAATGTTTGGAGCACACTCCCAGGGATGCTCAGGGTGGGATTGTTGGGGTGTCTATGCAGGAGTTGGATTGGATGATTCTTGTGGGTCCTTTCCAACTCGGGATATTCTGTGATTCTACTTCTCATATTCATCAGGTCTGCACTGTTAAAGCAGAAGGATAATCTTCCTGTAGACAGCACGCTTTTTAAATGTCTTTTTCCCTTTTTTTTTTTTTTTTTCATGGTGTCCCAGTGACCATCAGGGGCTGGAACCCAGGCCGTGTGATCTCATAGCCAGTCAGGACTTTCTGTCACTTCACTTCCATTTTGTGGCACTTAGACTTGGAGCTGTTGGCTGTTCACAGCAGGTTTTCACTCTTTTGTTCTGGCATTCTTTCAGCTCTTTTTATTGGGAGAAATATCCAAATATCCCCTTCCCTTTCAGCAGTCTGAAAAAAGCCATGAGCCAGCTTCCCACCTCTGTAGCTTTGGTGAGTTCAGACATAATTGAGCCTGTCAGAGGAGGATGATTCACCTTCATACACTTCTGGGCCTTGATAACAATCTACTGGGAAATCTGGAATGATTCCAGAGCTGATATTCCAGCTGGGTCACACCACTGTCACAGTGGGAATGGGCATTTCTGAGGGAGTCAGTCCAAGGTTGAGACACCCAGCTTGGGATGTTGATTCATTTCCCTAAACTCTTAAAAACCCTAAACCTGGTGCTGCTGGGGAGGCTGCAGCAGATCTGAGGCATCCATATGGCTCTTAGGAGCTGATACAGGACCTGAGGAAGATCCACATCTGACTGGGAAGTGGGAAAACCAGTGGGGCTTCTCAAATGGCTCTGTGTCAGTAATTCAAGCCAGTCAATAAAACCTTTTTGCTTTTTAAGCTTTTCATCAGCTTAGTCTCCAACAGGCTCCATCCACCTGAGCAGCTCCAGTCTTTGCTGGCAGTCTGGGCTGGCTCTCCACTGCATGCCCAAGACACCCTGCTGGCATGTGGGCACCCACAAAAGCTGAATTTGGGAGGGAAATCTTCCCTGTAGCATTTTTTGACATCTAATGTGCAACTACCATTTGACTGACTAAAGCGTGGCAACTCTCTTACTGCTTCTTTGAGGTGAAACATAAGTCCAAACCCCCCAAATATCAGAATATTGTCTATTTCAAAACTGGAAAAAAAACTTTGGGCTTGTCTTACTGTACTGTGAGAATGGTTTTTGGAATATCGTAAAGCTTTTAAAGGATAAAATTTCCTGTTCTGTTCTAGCCTCAGCTTTGCACAGCACCGAAGAAAACAGCAAACTCAGAAAAATTTTCAGAGCCTTCTGGGTGTGTAATCACATTGTCCAGAACAAAAATTTGCATCTTATAGTACACTATTTTAAAAGCTGAGCTACTTCCAGCCAGGCATCCCTGGAGAAGTGATGATGAAGGCAATGGCACTCAGTCTCCTTGAGGTACCAGATTTTACTCAAAAAGGGGAAAATAACCTGTGAGGAGCAGCCTGAAAGCTTCACAGATATCACTGCAGCCTTGTTATTATCTCTTCAGTGAGCCTGATGTTCCTGTCTCTGTGGTAGATGGGCTGATAACTTGCTGTCTCAGAAGGTTTTAAATACTTCAGGTTTTCCAGTTATAGCAGAGCTGAGTTCTTTAAATGCATGTAATGGTCTTTATCAGGTTACTCACCCCCCACAGTGCCAGGCTTGCTCTGAGTGATGACACAAGCAAAAAGCCTGGAAAATCCATCAGTTTAAGCTTTAATAATGCTGTGATCTCAGCTGTATCTCTTCCACCCTCTATTTAATACACATACCGCTGGGTACTTACAAACTGCCAGGAACCGTCTGTAATAGAGCTCAAAAATTATGGATTGCCCTCAAAAAAAAAACCCAAAATAGCCTTCATGAGATCTTCAATGAGTGCTTCGTGTCTGGGAGACTTGTCCCTTCACAATTTATGTGTTTCCTTTTGCCATGGGACTAAAAGCTGCTGCACTTAGTGGAAGACAGAGGAACCACCATTGAGGATTCCTCAGGGTGTGAAAGAACGGCTATAGGGTTTTCCCTAGGTAACCACATTAAAACCTCTGATTTGGGTTTTTTTCTGAGGCTCAGCGTGTGATTCCACTGAGTTTTCTCATCAGGAAATATTTTTGAGGAAGAAGGAGAATAACAGGAAATAAAGGAGCAGAGGTGATGTTGTTTTCAGCAGCCACTGAGGGACCCATGCAAAATTCCTTCCCTGTCAGGGCTGGAATTGGATGCAGCCTTTGCACAGTTGTGCTGGATTTTAATGTTCTCAGAATAAGGAGAGGCTACAATTAACCCCAGACCTTTATGAGGAAAGGAAATTGTGCAATGAATTTACTGCCTGTGTTTTAAAGTGCACATAGAGATTTTGCAGTGAGATTTAGTAAATGTTGAGACTATTTCTCAATCTGATGTGAAAATCACTTGGTTTGGGTACAGGGAAAGCATTAAGAGCAGTTACTGGAATCTAAGCAAATGGCAGAAATATTACTTAAGGCTGCATTTTGATACAGTCATGGGAAATGGAACCATGTGTCCTGACAAACCTGCATGAATGGAAAATAAAGAGGAAAATTCTTCTGGCTCTGGTAACTTTATGTTGTACCCCTTAGTCCAGTTCCCACAATATCTGAGCAGTGCAGTCTGTGTAGCTTCAAAACCTCTGCACAACTAAAACTGGGTTTAAAGATCAAAATCAGCATCTTAAAAACACTCAGGATGTGAGAGGCTGTTCCGAAGAAGAGTTTGCCTACAGAGTTGGCAAGGGCTGGACTCAATGATCTTTATGCATCCCTTCCAAGCTGAGATATTTTGGGATTCTGGGATTTTATTCTATGAAGTTCCTGTCCCTTTGAGTTCTGTCTGTGAAATTTGGAAAGTTCCTCCATAATTTCCACTGATCTAAACAAACATACCTTGAGATTTAACCAGAAATGACACCTTGGTAACACCTGATACCACCATAAAATGTCCTAATTTTCAGTGATTTGGTCTCACAAATGTGATATCACTGAAGGGAAAAAGTGAAGCGATTCAATTGTGGTCCATGCAAAGAATTACAAACAGGATGAGTTTAATTCCTTCATTTTTGAGTAGATATTTGACCTGGGAATGCAGTCACCTCCCTTGCCCTCATTTCCACAGAGCAGTTTTTCACACAGCTCCTGGACTGGTTTTGTTGGCTGCACCAGGAGAGGGTCTGTCAGGCCCCTGAGCTGGAGATTAAAAATCAGTAAATCAAAGAATCTAAGATACCAAGTTCAACCATTACCCACACACTGCCAAGCCCTCCACTAAACCATGTTCCCATCTACAGTTTTTGAACACTTCCAGGCATGGGGATTCCACCACTTGGTTTGTCAGTGTGTTTCAATGCCTGACCACCCTTTCAGTGAAGAAATTATTCCAAATTTCCAATCTAAACCTCCTCTGCTGCAATTTGAGGTCATTTCCTCTTGTCCTATCTCTTGTGACTTGGGAGCAGAGCCCAATCCCCCCCTGGCTGTCCCCTCCTGTCAGGGAGTTGTGCAGAGCCACAGGGTCCCCCTGAGCCTCCTTTTCTCCAGGCTGAGCCCCTTTCCAGCTCCCTCAGCTGCTCCTCACCAGATCTGTGCTCCAGACCCTTCCCCAGCTCTGTTCCCTCCCCTCCTTCCAGGCCAACACCTTATATACAAATTATTGTAGTGATTTCACGGAGGAGAAGCAGATTAGATTAAAAATTTACAGCATTTTATGTTTTATTGCTTTTGAAAAATTCTGAAGCTGTTTTGAATGAAGTGTGTGTGCCATGGATGGGCACAAAGGCCGTAGGCACTTGACTCATTAATTTGTTTAGAGACTATGAATAAAAAG